GATTGGTGACTGATTGATGCCTGATTTTTCACTTTTCGACCTGTGTTTGCAATGGAGGTGTAGGAGTTACTATCACCTTTGAACGACAATTTTGACAAACTTTTCTATTTCTTAACATTATATAAGCACAGACGTTACTACAAAACGAGCATGGGATGTAAAACCCCAAATACCATGTTCGTCTACCATGACTAAATTTAATATAAGTTGTAGTTTGTCTGTTCTTTTCTTGTTTCTTCAATTTATTTTCAATAATTACAAGTTTATCCAATAATAATTGACATATTCTTAAAAAATACTTGTTTCTAGTTTCTATATCAATAGGTAACCCACAAAATACACTCGTCAAGTATTTTAAAATCCTGTATTTAGTATTCATCATAGGCCGATCCGAATTAATCAAATAAGGCTTATTATATTTCTTTATTATATGTCTATTGTTAGTAACAATCGTCAACATATCTTTTTCTTTCTGTAATGAATCTACATGTAAAAGGATGTAGGACTTTCCTTTTCGGGTGGAGTATATCGTATCAGCCCCCGTATACCATTTCACTTTTTCTGGACAGAAAAAAGTATAGCCGATAAAACTTTCTTTATTCGGCATCTTTTATCTGATTGGTACACCGTATTTACGGTATTTACGCCTTCTTTTGAAAAAATTTCGCAAGAAAATAAAACTTTTATGTCTTTAAAGGACTATTAAGCCTTGTGAACTTGTTCGAACTGAAAAGAGTGATAATAAAAAGTGTGTTGTTTAAACTAAGGAACACTTTTGTCTTAATACTGAAGTGCTATTTTTCTAGTAATTTAACGAGAAAAAAGCGTAATATTTCTTGTATGAAAAATGGACGTGAACGGTACAGGAAAGAGTTTTATGTTTGTAAGTAATTATATTATATTTATATAATATTTATAATATTTACATATAATTTAAACTAATTAAATTCTTTATTTAAAAAATTATTCAAATATTTTAGATCGTGAGTAATTCCATTATATTTATATAACATTCACATATAATTTAAACTAACTAAATTCTTTATTTAAAAAATTATTCAAATATTTTAGATTGTAAGTAATTATATTATATTTATATAATATTTATAATATTTATATATAATTTAAACTAACTAAATTCTTTTATTTAAAAAATTATTCAAATATTTAGATCGTAAGTAATTCTATTATATTTATATAACATTTACATATATATAATTTAAACTAACTCTTTATTTAAAAATTATTTTGTAATTTCTTATAGTTAGTAAGTTATAAGTTATTTATTTAATTCTATTATATATTTATATTTATATAATATTTACATATAATTTAAACTAACTAAATTCTTTATTTAAAAAATTATTCAAATATTTTAGATAGTATGTAATTCTTTTATATTTATATAACATTTACATATAATTTAAACTAACTAATTCTTTATTTAAAAAATTATTCAAATATTTTAGATCGTAAGTAATTCTATTATATTTATATAATATTTACATATAATTTAAACTAACTAAATTCTTTATTTAAAAAATTATTTATTAATAATATAGGGAGTATGTTATTTATTTAATCCTATTATATTTATATAATATTTACATAATTTAAACTAACTAAATTCTTTATTTAAAAAATCATTTAAAATATTTTAGCCTGTAAGTATTGCATTTTTTTAATTATAATAATCCAATATTTTTTATATTAATTTATTATAATTGTATAATATTTACTAAATCTTTTTAAAAATTTTGGTAATTTATTTTAGTTGGTAAGTTATACTAACTGAAGTTATTGTATACTATTTATTTAAAATTTAATTAATTAATTAGTTATATTAAAATCTTATAATTTTATTTAGAGTAAGTATAATTAATATTGTTTAATATTTAAAATTTTAATTGTAAATTTTATTTTAATTTTAATTTTTAATATAATTTCATTTTTATATTTAAAGATTTGGCACTAGTGGAAGTAAAATTGTAAATCAATGTATTTCTAAAAATAAATTAAAATGGGTTTGTTATGGTAAATTTGAAAATATTGAATATCATGATAAAGGAGAATTTGGTACTATATATATAGCTAAATATATTAGTATTGAAGTAATTCTTAAATATTTTGATTATCTTAATAATTCAGATGAAAGTTTAAATGAATTGTTAAATGAAGTATGATTAAATATTTTTTTTTTTTAATATTATAATTTATTTATATTAATTAGTTAAATATTATTTTTTTATAGTGGAAAATTATTAATTCAGATGAAATTATTAACATATATGGATTTACAAACAAGAATAGTTTAAAAAGATATTTAACAGAAATAACAAAAAGTTGGGAACAAAAATTATTTTATTTATTTCAAATTATTAATAAGGGTCTTAATGATATTCATAAAAAAGATCTTATTCATTATAACTTTCATAATGGTAATATTTTATGTAACAAGTATGAAGAAGATATATATGGAATTTTTATTAGTGATTATTTAGGATTATATCAACTTGCAAAATCTTTTTTAAAAGAAAATGATATCTATGGAGTTTTATCATTTATAGCACCTGAAATTTTAAGATTATATTCAAGCTAGTGATATATATAGTTTTTCTATAATTATGTGGGAATTTACATCTGAAATTCCACCATTTAATGATAAAGCGCATGATCTTCAACTTGCCTTAAGTATTTGTAAAGGTGAACGTCCTGAAATTATTGAAAATACTCCACAATGTTATATAGATTTAATGAAAAAATACTGGGATGAAGATTCATTAAAAAGGCCATCTTCTAAAGAAGTTTGAATTATCATTGAAGATTAGATTTTTCGTCCCAAAAATGAGAAAATTGAAGGTATTAATGAAGAATTAAAAAGCAATATTATGGAATTTATAAATGCACCAATTGAGCATAATAATCTTATTGTAAAATCTCATCCAAAAGCATGTTATACAAGTCATTTACTTGATTTTACCAGTGAAGAAATAAATGAAATTGAAATTCTAGGAGATTCTCAAAGATTTCTTAATTTTTTGAATGAATTTAATTATCACTCTATAAAACTGAAAATAAAATTGGTTCCATATTCACAAATTAAAATTTTAAAAAAAATAGCAGAAGGAGGATTTGGTATTATTTATAAAGCTTTAATTAATGGAGAAGTTGTTGCTATTAAAAAAGTTTTAAATTCTCAAGAACTAAATAAATATTTTTTAAATGAGGTAATTAATTTTCAAAATTTGTTTTTTTTAAAAAAGATTTAATATACTAATTTAAACTATAAAATTTTAGTTAAAATCACTTTATCAATGTTATGATAGTAAATTTGAATATATTATTAAATATCATGGTATCACAAAAGATCCTATAACAAAAGAATTTATGTTTATAATGAAATATGCAAATGGAGGGGATTTACATAATTATTTACGAAAGAATTTTGCAAAGATTACATGAAAGAAAAAATTGCACATTTTGTGGCGAATTTCATCAGATGGGTATTTATAACTTAACGTTATTTAATAATGATTTTAAAATTATTTAAATAAAATTTTATTAATAATCAATTTTTATTTTTAGACTTCAAACTATTTATGAAAAAGATTTTGTACATCGAGATTTTCATAGTGGAAATATATTAGTTGAAATAATTGAAAATGGCTCATGTAAAATAGATCAATATCTAATTGGAAATTTAGGATTATCACAGCCTGCAAATGAAATTCCACATGATAGCAGTATATATGGAGTAATACCTTATATTGCACCAGAAATATTTAAAGGCGCCAAATTTTCTAAATCATCTGATATTTATTGTATAGGCATGATTATGTGGGAATTAACAACTGGTTGTAAACCTCTTGATAATGTTGAACATGATGTTGATTTAATTTATAAAATTATTGATGGAAAACGGCCTAATATTACTGATGACACTCCCGAAGATTTTGCTAATTTAATGAAAAGATGTTGGAATCCTAATCCTAAAAAGAGACCTTTAGCAACGGATGTTTGTGAAATTTTTAATTCTTGGTCAAATATGGGAATGGATGCCGAATATTTTAATCAAGCTGAAGAAATAAGATTAGAATTAATAAAATAAAAAATGCTTGGACCAGATTTTAATGAAAAACCTCATCCAAAAGCAATTTATACAAGCAGATCATTAAGTTCTTTAACTGGTTCACCTTCAATTATAACGTTTAATACGAAATCAAGTATGTAAACATTATTTTTTATATAAATTTGGACAATATTTACAACATTTTAACATTCAATAATTATTATCATCTTAGATAATAAACTTATTGAAGAATCAATCAACAATAAAGGTATTAAGTTATTTGTTTTAATCAGTACGTAAAGAAATTTTATTAATTACTTGATTCTTTTTCTTTAGAATATATTACAAAAGAATATGAGTTTGATATAAATGAAATTTAAAGGTACAATTAAAAGTTTTCTATTATTGCCTTTAATAATTGTTTTGATCAATTCAGTATCAAGATAAAATTTCAGAAGTAAATCCAATAAATCCAATAAATCCAAGGAAACAAGATGCAATTGAAGATTTTTATCATTTTTATTTTTTATTCTATTTTATTTTATTTTCTTTTCTTTAAAAAAAAAAGGAATGCATATTAAAGTTAGTAACAATGTTAACACAGAATATTATGAATAGAAACTTTTGTAATCATGTTCTGCTTTCATTAAGTTTTTTCTTTTTTTATAGTAAATTTATTTATTATACAATTACTATTTGTTGAAATAAAGATTATAATTGTAAATCTTAAAATTCTCACTGGTAGCTATAATTTTAACATCATAATTATTTACGTTTTTTTTAAATCAAGAACGCGACACAAGATGCATTGCTGCAATTTATTGATTTAACTTAAACAAATCAATACACAACTAACATTCCATTACATCAGAAATGAATATCCTGCCACACCTTCCCGATGCTATTCTTCTCCCTCCACGAATACCGTTACTGACCCTCGTTAAATCCTTTAGTTCGGTTATTGTAACAACTGTAGCTATCACCTTTATGCTAACAGCTTTCTAACCCCTCCAAAATTAAATAAATGGTAATGGCTATGTCTACTACAATTCAACGTCGTGGTATACTAGATACGATTTTTATAAAATTAAACTAACTACGACAAGGCAGAAATGCCACATACATGAAAACTAGTCTAAAAATTTACAAAAGTGAAATATTAGTATACTATTTATTTTCCAAATGGGCTATCCTGGGAACGTATAAAGGAAAATGAATTCCTTTATTCGTCCCGATCATCATCCTGCCCTCTTCTTAAAACAAATTCTCGTGGCAAAATTTCAACACCCTGCATGCCATTTTTTCCATCTCTTATGAGACTTCAGCAAAGAGCCCAGCTATCTGCCTAATTTAAACGTCCACTTTGGTCCGATCTTCTTTCTTAAACACGTGATTGCGTAAATGAGTGTGGCGACCTAAATACCAAAACATCTCTCACCCTCCCTAACAACCTTTTTTGAGCCGCTACAACATGGTTTGTCACCTCGTCCACCCATTGGAATTTTAAGACCATGGACTCCGCCTAAGCAACTTAATATGGCAACGAGCTCGGTTATTCTGTGATGACCACCTTGTTTCGCATTCAGTTATCAGTTAAAAGATTTCCCGTAATCTGCTTTAGTTTAGCCGCATTTTGTACCACTCTCAAATACCTCTCTATCATTAAATTCTCTAGGCTCTAGGCACATGTGTTGTGTTTATACTGTGCCCATTTTTTCAAAAAATTCCCCCGAGACTCGAATTTCCAAAAAATATATCCAACGTCCAAAAGTCAAAAGAAATAATATTTCAAACAAAACTCCCAACCGTCTTTAATAGAGGCTCCTACTCTGACTCTCTATACCAAACCCAGGTGCTACATGGCCATCCAAACTTTAGTAGGGTCATTAAAGAGATAGAGTTTTGGTTGTCAGAAAGTCAACTTTAGCGAAATATTATATAGGCTAATATTAAAATGTTCCTCAAAGAATGACAAAACAGTTGGTAATAAGTAGTGTAAGTAAAGATCCTTAACATAAGGAGGGTACTAATGTTCCGAAAATCGAGCCAACATTAAGAAGTTTCATTGTGGCTCGAAATTAGGAGCACTATAAGGTACATAGCCGATTCCTCCTTCAGAATCAGTGGTCCTTAATCAAAGAATCTCATAGTAAGACATAACCGCCACGGCACTAATTAATGACTGGACGCTCTTTCCCGTAGCACGTAGGGTACAGGACGTATTACACTTACTATGCTCGTTAATGTCTCTTCATAACCATAAGAACACTATCCTTTAGTTCTTTAAGTTGCCGTTTTAATATTCGGACTTTTTGTCCCTCCTTAGATTTTGGTTTAAGATTTTTGAACAAAACTCTTAATTCAGTCCCCAGGGCGCTGTATGCCCTCCGTTCCTCTTTTGTATCGTTTGAATATTTCTTCAAGTACGAAATCACGTCCCATTGTGTATACGACTGTCTCCAATATTCCGTATTTGCAAGTTTATTAAGGACTTTTTCCATTAACATCTTTTAACACAGGTTCTTTAAAAGACACGTTTATACACACTATTTATGGAATTATGTACGCGTCTAAAGAGTTTGAATGATCTTACCACACCACCTCGGAAAGGTGTGATGCCTAACCGTCACAGACACGTGACCGCCGCGTTCGCGTTGTTTATAGCAACTTGTGATCTGATCTCTATTTGTCACCTGCATAATATGTCACTTGTGTTACCATATACATATAGCCGAGGTGGTAAGATGATCCATCTAGTTTAATCACCGAAAAATTTATGCATGATCAATTTTTTGCCAATAGTTCAGTTTACGTAACGTAACATATCGAATCGTTTACATAAAACTTTGTCCTTGACCGGTAAACCGGTTTCCTTTTTAGGATACCGGTCCACTATTTTTGGTTAATTATTTACTAATTATGTAATGCATTTCGTATTCACATCAATTAATCAGCGATTAAATTAATCACATTAGTTAATATTTGAATATAATATTTTTTTCGATTTTATTACCAATAAATAAAATAAATATTTTTAATTTTATATAAAATAAATTTCTAATTTTTGTTAAATTTGTTATAAATTATCTCTGTCGACTAACTTTATTAAATTCTCGAAACAATATTATTATTTAGTTATTATTTGTCCCTTTTTTTTAATAAGATAATTGAGAAAAACTCTTGCTTCCGGAATAATCTATAAATAAATAACAATAAATATTGTGTCTTAAACAGAAGAAAATTTTACAATTTTCACTTTTACATAGCGTCAGAATACCAATTAACAAAAAGATTTATTGAAAATATCATATCAGATATTGAATATATTATTATAATACATGATAATTATTTTGAATTTCATTCATTTGTTTTTCCTTGTAAGGTTTATTATATTATCATTAGATGTATCGTGACAATGAATGTAGGCAAAAAATATTTAGTTTCAAATTATGCAACGAACAAAATTGAATTTAAAATATTATTCTAACCAAAAAATATTAATTTGTGCTTGTATAGGAAGGAATATGGCTGATGTAACGCATGAAAATATTATTATTATATAAGTATTGATATATTTATACCAATCTTTAGGATATGCCCGAAGGATATTCATAATAAATGAAGTTTGTGAGTAGTTTATCGTTAAATTTAAAATTTTGCATTGTTTACATATTATGTGTTGAATATTTTTCTAAAATTTTTTATGCATTATCTCCTTTATATCCCCTTAATGTTACAAGTATGATAAGTCATTTTAGAAGTTTGATTTGCTGTTTTATATGACAAAGTCGTGCATAATACGATAGTGCATATGCCACATCGTGCTTTTATTTCGTAAATGGATGAATTTTGGAGAAACAACAGAAGAATGGGTAAAGTAACCAAACATACAAAACATAATAATTGAGAGAAATACATGCTTTGTTTAATGCTGACTCAACTTCTCAATCCTATAAATCAATGTTCTATAATGACTTTTAATAAAAAAGGGGGGACTATGTTTGCTATCATGAAGATTAAAATCCTCTTCAAACGATGTGACTATATTATATGTTTAACATAACTTATTTAAAATTTATTATATTTGTATATCTTCTCGATAATCAAATAAAAACAATTGATATTTCAAGTAATAATAATATATTTCCTAAAAATATATATATATCGATGCATAGCAGCGTATGTTCAATTTTGATATGTTGATAATATGAATGTTTCCCATGCGGCAAGTTAGTACAAAGAATAATTACATCATAAATAATCATATTACATAATCACAAACAATTAAACTATTACGCAATTTTAATTCCGACACAGCGACACTACATTCTAATATTCAAGAATGTACAGTAATTAGTTATTGTATTCTGTGCAACATCACAAAGTTACATTTTATAGCACGCGACTAAATTTGATACCTTCCGTGTTATTTTTTTTTACTAAATATTCTGGCATGAATTAAATATTTAAACTATAATGATAATTTAGAAAGAATCACGTTTTTGCCTTTTAACCAGTCTTGCCATTCGACATTTTACAATTCAAGGATTGCTATTGTCACAACATATGATATCTTGGGTTACAAACAAATAACTTTATACATTTTTTATTTATTAGATGATAGTCATACTATGAATTATATTGATTCACACTAAATGCAGTGATATCTTATCCACAAAAATGCTGATTAAATGAATTTTGTTAATTGATCTACAAAATTTCACCCCATTTTTAGATAGTAATTTTCACTGATTTATAGTCGGATCTCAAATTAAATATTAAAATAGGACCCCGCTTACTTATAAGATAGGTCACCCCCAGGCCTAAGGTAAAAATCATATATAAAATTCTTTGCAGATCCTACTATAAAAGGAAATTTTATGTTACATTGTTATGATTTTTTTCTTTTTTAGCTAATTAACCAATAGAATTTAAGAAAAAAGTAAGGTAAAAACTATTAGTAAAGAGCCAATTTTCTACAGTGACCTTTATTATAAGTAAGCGGGGTCCTATTAAAATATAAACAAATTTAGATAAAATAGAAATTTTTTTAGACGTGATAGCGTAATGACAAAAATTTATATAAAGAACTTTAGAACAAAAGGGTGGTGGTAGGGTAAGGGAAGAGAAAATTATAAGTCCATAAATTTTTTTAAAAATTTTGTAATTTCTCAGTATTATTTTTATATTAAATAACTAATTTTACTTCATTTTAGCATAGAAAATTTTTTAATAATTTTTTAATTAATTAATAAAATTTATTAAAACTTATCTCAGTCAATATTAAACCTAGAAAGATGATTTTACTACCATTAGAATTGTCTTAATGAGATGATTCTAATGGTATAAAATTTATCAAAATCTGATTACTGGATTTTTAATAATTTGCAAATTTATATTTTGTATTTTTTATATTAAAATTTATTTATAGTAATAAAAATAATAAAATTTTATATTAATAAGAATTTAATGAATGTTTAAAAAAATTTTAAACTATTGTAAAATACTTTATTTAATAATTAAAGAAAATTTAGATCTTTAAAAATTTAAGGTAAAATTCAATATAATTTTAAAAGGTCATACTATATATAAGGGTTGGTAAAATTACTAGTAAATTTGAAATTTTGTGAGGAGACCTCTATTAGAAGTAAGCGGGATCCTGGTATCCTCTCCTATTTTTCTAAAATATCTGCCACATCTGACACATCCAGGATACCCCTCTTATTACATCCATTTTTGCTTTCTTTTCCTTTGTTTTCTGGTTTTTTGGTTATATATTTATGTTCCAGATATTGTCCCAGATTGTGGCAGATATAGGGGGATGACTCCCACGAGGGGGGATGTAAGTACTGCAAGGCCAGTGACCGAAGTAGGCGGAGTACAGCAACATACACACTCAGACTGACGACTCATATGGCATAAGTCTATTTTATTGGTTTATGGTTTGGAAACTTTACTTCAAGGTTCTGTATATGAAATTAAACAATTTTATTATTGCAAGCAAATTTTGTTATCATTTAAGAAATACTAAGGTTTTTTTAAAATGTATTTTAAATTTATAAAAGTTAAAAATTTAAATTTAAAAAGTAAAAAATTTGGTAAAATACTTTCAAAAATTCTATATAAAATTTAAACTTGGTTAAAATGATTTACTTGAAATTTGTCTAAAAATTTTAAACTATTATATATTAGATTTTAATTATTGAAATTATTATAAAAAAAATATTATCAAGTTCTAAATATAAAATATAATTAATAATTATTAAAGAAAACGCCATTTAATGTATTTAGTTGCTTTCTTAATATTTACTATATAAAGTTTAAAATACAAAAATTTAATTTGTAAATTAACAATTTCCCTATTAATTAAATAACGTTTTGTAAAAAAGGTTTTGACATACCTAATCATATCTTCAAATATACCTTGTTAAAATAGTCCATTTCGGATGGCAGGTAGAATCCTTGGCGGGACATCAGCTCGTTAAAATTCAATTAAATGAAATATAATTTTCAGTCAAATAACCTAAATAATTTTTAGCAAATTAAATTTAATTATATTAATAAAGGAATATACAGTTTTAATACTTTTTTAACATTTTTATATTCATCTTTATAAAATTAGGTTTCGCCATCTCAATCGTAAATCGCTTACCTAATCACAATTAAGAATGAACAATTGTACTAGATATACAATAAAGTAGTTATTTTGTAACATGCCAGATAATTGATCAGATGATTATCCAAAACTTCTTGTGCCAAATTTGAATGTACATGCAGGTAATATAATTAAAAAAAAAAAATTTACATATGAATTAAAAGTATCTAATCACCATAAAAAAATCTACATATAAACATATAAAACAAAAAATAAATAAAAATTCTTTACAACTATATAATAAAATAAAATGTACAAATGTCATTTGAATATATACTAAGTAGTAATGTTAAATCTACGTTTACCAAAAGACTTTTCATGTTTAATATTATAAGATCTAGCAGAATACCTTATAGTATTAAAAATATTTTTTTTTCCAAAATAATTCTTGTTATCAGTTAAATATTTAAGAGCACGAATGTTATTAACTTTTGCGGCAAAATCCAATAAATATAATCCGCGAAAAGAAGTTGAATTAACGTCACCACCTTTTTTTACCATTAATTCAATAATATCTAAAGGTAAATCCAAATAAACAGCAGCAAATAAAGAATTTGGAAAAGGAGCTCCAGATAATGTTAAAGTAAAATCCGGCAGAGATATATTTGGATTAGCACCATGAGATAAAAGTAATTTTATACAACCATATAAGTGTAATTTTTCTGAATCTATTGTTGTCGTTCTCAAGAGATTTAAACATTGATGAAGTGAAGTCGAGCCATAATTGTCTGTTATATTTGGATTTGCATTATAATCTAATAATGCTGATATAATTCCAGGTTCTCTTCTTTTCCATATTGCTTCATGTAAAGGAGTCCATCCAAATTCATCTTTTGAATTAATATCAACATCATTTGAACATAACCATTTTAATGCCATCCTAAAATGATTATGTCTTGGATGTTTTGTTGATGAAAGTCCAATGTCCATCTCAAATAAATCGTTATTCCAAATTAATCTATGTATTGCTGTTTTCATTCTTATATCTCTACTTTTTAGATTTTCTCCTTTTTTCTTTAACGTTTCAAAAGCCGATATTATTTTCTTTTTTGGAGCATATCTTGCTATTAATGTTACTTGGGGTTGTTGAATGTCACTTATTGAAAGATTTTCAAATGCTATTTCATCACAATCAGTATTTTCTTGTTGCATATCCGAACTACCTTCTCCATATGATGTTCGACTTATGCGAGAACTTTTAAATTTATCAAAACTCAAACTTCTTCCTTTTTCACGTCTCCTTTTTGGCAAGTCACCATCCGACAAACGCTTTTTTTTTCAGAAAAAGATATAGAAAAATTTCGTTAAGAAAAGTATGATTGGAATATAAAATTCGAGAAATACTAACATGGTTTGATTGTAGTTTTATATATTCTGCTAACTCCTCTTTATCAATTACAACATAATCCCCCGTATCATTTGCAGTATCTTTTAAAAAAACCATATTTATAGTTAGTTTAATAAATAAATAAATATATATATATATATTTTTTAAAAAAAAAGATCTATTCACCTGCGGAGTCTAGCATAATAGGGGGAACCATTCTTGGAGACATTGTAGGTGATGATGATGGTGATATATTAGGGTGAGAATACCTTTTAATTAATGTTTTACTATTATTATTTGATAAATATAAATTTTCATCCTTGTTTTTTGAAGGAAGAGGATCTAGTTTAAAACGAACTTCTCCAGGTTTAACAAAAGAAGAATATAACCTCGTTTTATCTAACTTATGTAAAACATCTTGTATGTTAGGACGAGAAATTGGGTCACCATCCCAACAATGTCGATAAAGTTGTACATATTGTAATGGAGCTCCTGGTACTATAGATGATTCTCTTTCTCCATTCATTATAATTCTCAATAATAAATGAAAATTTGATGCTGTAGATTCAAAAGGAGGTCTTCCGCTTGATACTTCACACATTACTACTCCTAAACTATAAATGTCCGATCTTTTATCTCTTTGATAAGAATTATTTTGTAAAAACAATGGTTCTAAAAATGGTATCATTTCATCATGATATGGTTTTGATAAATCATGCCATGTATCTGAAAATCCCAAGTCTGCTATCATCATTCTTCCATCATGAACCAACACATTATTTGGATGCTATAAATGACAAACAAAAGTCAATGATCAATTAAAAATAACTTGAAATAAATTCAGATTAACATACCAGATTCTTATGCGACATTCCTTCATTATGTATACATTGTAAACCTGTTGCTATTTCTTTGATGAATCGGATTTTATCATGCCATGTTAATTGGTGAAAATTACGCTGTAAATGTTGGCGTAACGTACCACCGTTAGCATACTGCATCACAAGAAAATATGTATCACTTGAAGAATGTTGACTCATTCCAAAAAATCTAACTACATTAGCATGAAAGTTTACTTTTGATAATAATGTCAACTAAAGGAGAGAGAAAGAGTTAATTTTATAATTTAAATATTGAAAAAAAGATGAATTTTTATTAGATACCTCATTAACAAATCTTTCTATAGCATTATGATCTATATTATTACAATCTGATTTCCAAGTCTTCAAAGCGACAGGGATTTTATTATCTTTACCCCAAATAGCCCAAAATAAATTACTCGATGATGATGCTCTACGTTGAGCTGGTAAAGGTGTTATTTGTTGAAATGAATCATAATCTATAAATTTAATATGACCATTCTTAAGAGTAGCTTCAAGCCACACTTTTGTTGCCATATCGTATATGGTATATTTTCGAACTTTTTTTAAGAGAAAATTTAAGGAATAAGGAGAAAGAAAAATTTTATTATTTATTCAGTATTTATTTGTTTATAAGTTAGACACGTGTTCCTAATTTTAAAAAGGAATTTAAGTTATACTTTTAGTTGTAGGGGTGTAATACAAAAGGATGATCTCATTTTATATTTAAATTTATATTTTTAGCAATATAAGATCTTTTTTAATCGATAAAAAAAACATTTTCCTATAATTAACGTAAATGGGAACAATGAAATACACAAGATATACAAGATATACAAACGAGACTAAAAAAAAAAACGATTAAACATTTTTACGTCACTCCTTTATTTCAGGATTCAGGATTATATTGATTAATATTGTGTTCGTACAATAAGTAATTTGATTGGATCAAATTTATATTTTTTATTGTATCTCGTTAAATTGGTAATTAATTTATTACAATAAGCACAATAGCATAAATATTAATATTAGTAATCTATTACTGTAATTACAAAAAATCATACAAATCACGTGCTAAATAGACCTGGCGCAGTAATCATTACCAGACTATACCAGTCACCAAAAAAGTTTCTCTCAAACAACGGGAAAATACTCAAGAATTATTCATCGATTATCTTTAAAGGTTAATCTTAAAACTATAAATAGATTATCCTCGTATTTTTACATTGACTTTATTGGGTAAAGCCGCTTCATTTTTTCTTTCTTTTTTTTTTTTCTTTCATTACGAAATATCATCTGATTATAAACAATCTCTTCTAAACAGAATTAATCGTTTTTTTTAATCGAATATTATAATCGGATTAATGTAAATAGAATTTCGATTTATACCAATTTATACCTAAACACCTGAAAGTTGATGAATAAATTTTTTTAATAATGTAACGTAAATAATAATTTGATTGAAAAAATTGAAAAAGGATTCGTTCAGATACTGTATGATAGATGTGATACAGTTATGCAAAGATCTTTACTTTTATCACATGATAAAAGATAATACATAATCTTTGCGGGACGTTTGTCTCATAATTACACGAATCTGCAGAAATTGAACTTTATCCTTCTTTGATATTATATCAGATATTAGATTTACTTTTATTTTACTATATTAAATTTAAATAAATTATTTATTATAATTACTGTATTTACTTTTATTATAATCTTGTTTCAAAAAAAAAAATTTTTTTTTTTTTACGTTTCTGAATAAATAAAAATTATTTATTTATAGTAAAAAGTATATTTTATTATTATCTAACTATCTCCAATATAAAGTTTGATCAAAAGAAAATTTTTGTGTAACTGCGGATAATGCGAAGTTCGATCATTTGGTCGATCATTTTAATGATGTATCATAATATATACTGTAAATAGTTATATAAAGAGATTAGTATATTACATTTATATTTTTAGGCAATTTTTCCCATGTTATATATATTTTTTTTTAATTAATTAATTTAAAATAAATAAATAAATAAATAAATAACAAATTATCGAAGGAAATTAAAAAGTTGATCATGAATCTTCAGTCACGTTTTTTTTTGATATCAAAAGGTGATGCTATAGCATTGTATTCGATCCATTGTTTTAAAATCATTTCGTCATCCAAGAAAACTTTTGCAATGCTGTGCCACAATTTTTTTCTTTCCAGCTCAAGATCAGAGTGAGTCTGCTGCGCCGATAGTCATACAAGGGAGTTTTTTTTCAATTAGAAAAAAAACACCCCACACTCCAACGAAAATTTTACTCATATACTACTGAAAAGCATGTACGTGAGAGAAAAATTTTCACAACTCAGAAAATTGATCAAGCGAGAATCTGATGAACCATCTGGTATGATATATTGATAATTGTTTCAGTTCATAGTAATCCATAGTCATTTCTAATACTTGGAAAAAATATAGGTCGCACAGAAGTTCTGAAAACTCGTAATGTTATTCAAGTGGAAGAACCTATTCAAGTGAAAACTGCGGAGGATCCTGTTCAAATGGAAATTGAGGAAGATGAAAGTGATGATGATGATGAACCTGAAACTTCGAAAAAAGATAAGGGAAAACTTAAAGCGAAAGAAACGCCAAGCATTGAAGAAATTAAAAAATGGGATACCGGGACCCTAATCACTTTTTTGCAAGAACAAGACTTAGAGCTTGATAACAAATACTTTGATACTTTTCATTTACAAGAGATCAACGGAAAAATCTTTCTCGAATTAACCAAAAAAGAACTTCAAAGTTGTGGGTTTAAATTAGGACCAGCGAAAATAATTGCGGATCTGATTAAGGAACTTAAAAAGAGATCATTCTCATCTTATTATAACTTGAGAGACGTGTTAAATAAGTATGGAATTGAAGGAAGTAGCATAGGAAATATTTCACAGTTTAGTCCAGGTAAGATTTAATGAGAATTAGTATTTCACATTCACTATAACTTACTATGAATTCTGAAAAAAAAGAACCTTATAGTATCGATGACAACGATGAAGAGTTAGAATATTGTATAAAAGATATAAAACGCAAAATGAGTATTATGGGAACTCTACTTATTGATAGCAATGATACAGATCGTTGTGAATACATTGTCACAATTCTACATGCAGCAATTTATATCGTCAGAAGAATTACCGGTAAAAATGTCACAATCTCTTCCCTTAAAGTCATTGAGAGAGAAAACACTGACAGTGTCGATTACACGATCAGGGAGACTGAGGAACTTATTTGCATTACGAAAGGTAAACAACATAAAATAGCAACAAGTTTCGCGCAGAATCTTGTGCAACTCGAAAGCTTATACCAGACGAACAAGAGAAAATGTAAAGCTGATGTCGCCGGTTCAGGCTTCGATTACCTTTACGGTATCGTATCTACAGCTACAGATTGGTATTTTCTTTTATATAGTACAGGTAGAATATCATGCACGAGTAAAAGACCATACAACATTGTGTTTTCCGAGACATCTTTAAAAAAGGATTCAGTAGATGAGCAAGAGTTGCGCAGAAATGTGAAAAGGGTTATTGAAGTAATCGTAGGTATATTGATTGATAGAATAAACATAGAAAAGACGCCGGATAGTAAGAAAGCGAGAATCGAAAAATATTTCAAAAAAGAGTAAAATAGATATTGATTTTTGTATGATACAGTCATATTATTGTAAACATAATAACATCTAAACGAAGTTTACGGCGAACCAAACGAAGAAATACTGTATCAACATAATAACATTTGATTTAAGATTTTTGCATAATCCTACGATCCACCGTTAAATTACGAATTTGCAACTCCGCAAGTGCATTCCTATTATCATCTAAATTTTTTTTTCCTAAACTCAAAGTTATATATACCATTTGCTTTATATTTTCATTGATAAATTTCTATTATCTTCTTGAAATTACGATTCGTATTATACGAAGTTATCGAAATTATTGATGGTTCGTGTCGACTATACATGGGGCGTAATTATGCGTATTTAAGTATTAAGACGGATTATACCAAAATAGCTAAAAAGGTAAAACAGTACTTCGCCGATGTAGTTTCGAAATATATTTTCTGATTTAATGAACCGGAAAATAAAGTAAAAAAGAAGGGCTAAACTTAAACCAGTGAGTTCCACTTTAAATTAGCGAAATTTTAATTTGGTTATTTCCTGTCGCTTTAAGAATGAAAATTAGCTTATGAAATCACTATAAGTCTCGAATTTCTAAGTTAATCCCAGGTAATCATAGTTACATATTTTAATGGAAATTCTCAAAACAAAAAAAAAACGACAATTCTACAAATTAACAAATTTTTTTTTTTAGTAATATTATTACGAGAAAATGTTTATTAAAAATGTCCTCTTTTTCTTGTGAATTATAAGGAAAGTTAAATTTAAATTTAAATTTAGAAAAGTTGAAAAAAAAAATCTATATTATACAAAAATTTAAAAGACATTAAATTTTCAAATAGAAATATTAGTTAATTATCTTATCAAAAATTTTCATTATTCGAATTATTCGATGTGACAATAACTTCAATTTCTCCTGTTTCGGTATTTTGATTATTTCGAGATGAATTATTTACTAAATTATAATCATTTTTTTCGATGGTAATGTCCTGATTGTTCTGAGTTGTTTTAGTAAAATTGTTTTCATTTTCGATATTTTCAGCTGATAAGTCTTTATCTATATTCTTAGCAGTGTTATCCTCACTAGGTAACGTGGTTTGTGATTTCACATTAGATGCACTTGAAGACCTAGGGCGACCAACTAATTTTGGTTTTTCCGGATCTACAATCGGAGTGAATGAATATCGTAACTCTATAGGAGAACTTATTAATTCTTTTGTAAACTGCGGTTTTCCATCGTTTTTATTGTTTTTAGGTAAAGTTAACGTTTTTCCTAGTTTTGTTAAAGTCTTAAAAGGCGAAAGTAAAGAATGTTTGGATAGATTATTATTGTCGGATTCCACACTTGCAAATCTGGTAACATCTCTGTTTGAGGCCGTGTTAAAGTGCCGAAAGGGTAGATTCTTCCATTTCCGTCCAATTTTTTTATTATCTTCTTCTCCAATAGAAATATTACTGCCATCACCGGCATCTGAATCACTGTAGCCTTTTCGATGAAATTTATGGTTATGAAATGTGTCAAGATTTTGAGCTATTTTCTTCCATCTTTCTAATTTTCCCTCTAATTCTGTAATTCTATCCAATGCATCCAAATGTTTTAACTCAAGTTTCTTATATTTTCGGTAATACCTCGGTGGATTAATATCTGCTAATCTTTCTTGAATCTCTGCCAATGCTTCAAGCATAGTCTGATTTTGATTTTGAAGAATTCTTATTCTTCTAGTCTTAGTCGTAAACTCTGAAAGTGATTCTCGTGTTTTTTGCAATCTCATTTGAGCGCGAATTCGACGATGAAGAGCCCATTCGTTATTAAAATTTGATCCGATAATAGAAGTTGGAAGTGCGATAACCAGAATACCACATGTCATTGTTAATGCGGCGACTAATTTTCCGGGACCAGTGACTGGAACAGCATCACCATAACCTGTGGTAGTGAGAGTAACTATTGACCACCAAAAACTATGAACAATAGATTGGAAAGGACTGGCTTCAAGCTTTCCATCCTTTCCAGTACGGTACCAAGTCATATCATTTTTGTGAAAATCACCACGTTCTATAAAATACATTATAGCTGAAGATGCTAATAATATCACCATCAAATATACAGAAATCATAACAATTTGATAGGCAGAACGTTGAAATACTCTTGCAGTGATCTAAATTTAAAATAAATTAATAATGATGATGAAAATGGGAGATAATGATGAAAGTGAAGATACTTTACATTAAAGCCAACTGTGTATTTTGCAACATTGAATAGTCTTAGAACCCTTAATAAGAGCAACACTCTAATAAATTTCAAATGGGACTAAAAATTATAATAGTAAGTAACGTGATCATAAATCATTCAATTCACCATTAATAATCTGATATACCTCTGATTTACTTATTAATTGAACGTAAAAAGGTATGATCGAAATTAAGTCAATCAAGCTCATAGGTTCTAAACAAAATTAATAAATCTTAGTTACCATTATAAAATAAATCAAAGATAATAATTAGGTATACATACTAAAAAAGAACCTCCACTTATTTACTGAAGCATAAAATCTTCCAAAGTATTCAATAGTAAAAATAATAACAGCAACAACATCAAAGGGGACCCTACACAAATTAAAGAAAATGAATAAATGATTGATAATAAAAAATTTATGATGAACATTATATACCAGTAAGTTTGATAAATTTCTTTTTCACGTAAGTAAATGGTCGGCCAAGAAACAACACAAATGATTACAACAGTGATAATTGTACATGTAATCGATAATACTTCGTATGCTTTTGCCCATTTAGACTTGGGCTCTTCAAAAAAGTAATAAAATTTACGCTGAAGAGGTGACCTTAATGAATCCTCATAATTGATATTTTTGTTATTATATTTCTATTAAATAAACCAATACGAATGTTAATATTTTGACCTAGTATTATAAAAAAAATATAAAATTATTAATTTACACTAATATCATCATCATCACTTATGGTTTCGCCTTCTTCACCGTTTAGGTTATCGTCACGTGAGCCTTCATCGTCATTGTCGTCATCGTATAGATGACTTCCAAATCGATCATCCTTATTATTTGTGCTGTTAATAAATAAAAAATCAATATATTGGAAATAATAATTCGAAATGACTTATAAGTTATTAATCCTTTATTGCTCTGCAATTATGTAAAAGATACATTGCCTTAATTGACCTGTGTACCGACATTTTTGCAGAAGAATTACTCATGATACTCTTTCTTCTATTTTCCAGTAAATTTTGTGGTTGAAATTCGATAGAATGTGAATCTGAATTTGTTTGCATGTTTAAAATAGAAGAAGTTGCAAAATCACTGTCAGGAGGCAAAGTTAAAGTTGAATTCGTTCGCTTATGAAGTAAAATAGTTGTAGGCGGCAAATCATTACTATTGTTATTAAAATTACGTAATAGGGGTAGTGGTGTTGATTTTGTACTATTTTCTTTTTCATTATTTTCAGACATATTTATAAAATAAAAAGGATGAATGGATGAATTGAACAGAATTTGAAATGTCTTATGTCTTATATATATATATATATATAAGAAAATTGCAATCATTTATTATTGGCCTGTCAACAAGTGATACACTTGGCGTTTTAAACAACTGACGCCAATCGCAGATCCAAACCTTACTCCTGACAGCGTGACGCAAAATTAATTAAGCGTTTTTACTTATTTGGACTGAGATAGAGTAAATATATTTATTAACACATGATTCTTCCATGATTTTTTAAATTTTTAAAGACGTTTGAGAGAGAAAATTCTTTAGATTATAAAACAAAAATAGAAGTTTTCGTTATAGAGTTTTCCATATTACAGCATAAATGTATACTAACCATTAAACCTTTGTATAACGATTCACGAAGATCGACACGATTTAATTTTTTTAAAAAATGAGTTTTGGAACGGAATTAAAGGTAATTCTTCATAAAGTATTAATTGTTATATTTACAATTTCGTGAGAAACTAAATGAACATTCCCATTTAGGATCAAGTGTCTTCAGTAAACCAATTTGTCCAAAGTGGGATCCATTTTTTAAACGATTTTAGGGATTTTATTAAAGAGCGTGCTCAAATAGAAAAGGAGTATGCACAGAAAATTGAAGCACTTGTCAAAAAATATTCAAGTAAAAAGGATAAGAAAGCATTGGCCATGACGGTTGGCGACTTCCCAAAAGAGAACGATACTGAAGTCGATGTTGAATCTAGGTAAGTATCGAATATTTATTTGAATTATATTGTAACTAATTATTATATTCATAGATCATTGATTCCTTTTACACTCAAAGTACTTTCTTAAAGGCATGGTCAGTTATTCTGGAAGAAACAGATAATATTGCGAAAGAGCGAGCAAAATTTTCAGAAACATTATCAACAAATGTTATGGAGAAAGTAAAGACAGTTGCGACAAGAAAGGAAGAAATTAGAAAAAAGGTAATAATATCATCGATTAGTCTATGATTAAACTCTGGTAATTATTAACATGATATTTTTATTTTTAGCATATGGAATTTGCGCAGAAATTAGTTACTGACAGAGATAAAATTTATTCGGAAAGGAAAAAGGTAATAGAAGTATACCAAGAATATAAAATTTATTTTTTCTTTTATTAAGTATAATTCATTTAATAGGTTAAAACTCGTTATGATGAATGTTGCGTAGAAGTTCAAAGTTCACAACAAAGACTTGATCGATCGACGGATGATAAAGTATTGGAAAAAGTAATTCTCACTTATTATTTCTTAGAAAAGTAATTCATTATTGTGGTTACAATTACTAATGTTAATTTTTTTAAAAAAAAGTTAAAAAATCAGAAAATACAGGATATTATCGAAATGAATAATAACAAAGTAATGTTTATATATTGGATTGAATTGTTATAATTTGATTAGAAAAATACGTATTTACTCTTTTTTGATAATTTTAGAATCTTTATATTTTGTCTATACGTGTATCTAATAATCTCAAAAAGAAATATTACCATTCGGATATACCTGCTCTTATCGACGTAATTTAAAATTTTAATCTTTTATATCGTTTTTTATTTCTTTGATTATTTATTAATTTTAGTTTTTATAACAGCAATTGCAAGAACTCAATGAAAGTAGGATAGTGGCCTTGAAAAGTATTTGGGATGATTATGTGAATTTTGAGATATCTGTATTAGAAGAATCCAAGAATCATCTTGATACATCACTTCAAATTATTAATGATGTTGATAGTCACATCGATTCAGAATTGTTTATAAATAATAATAAGAGAAGTTGGGAAGAACCAGCGGATTTTGTTTTCGAGTCTTCACCAATATATAGTGATACTGTGTGTAAAATATTTTTTATTTGATAAAATAAAAGCATCATTCTTTATTTAACTTATGATATTCGGTGTTTCGTTAGGAAGAATTGGTTGATGATGAAAACTCGCGAGTTTATCTCAGTAATAAACTTTCTAAGGCCAAGCGAAATTTAACAAAACTAACTTCGGAGATTGAATCTAAGAGGAAAGAAATTGATGGGATGGAGTCTCTAAAAGAAGCATACGAAAATAACCCGAGGCTTGGTGATTCAGATGCAGTCACTGATGTATTCAATTTAATTTTTTTTATTATTAATATTATCTTTTTTAACAGCTACAATTTTTTAATTTGTCTTAATAAATTTTAAAGAATCTGCATAGAACTATTAGAGAATATACTATCTTAGAGACAAACAGAGTTAAATATCAAACACAAGTTGAGTCTATAGTAGAAGCTATTGGAGGTGAGTGAGGTTATTTTATTAATTTTGTAATGTTTTTCCTGGAACGTAAAAATTTTTTTATATATTGGTATTATTAGATATTGGGCATGACCAAGAATCTCATGATTTCAAAAATGCATCATTTACAATCCCTACAACTTGTGATTTGTGTCAAACTACGATTTGGGGTATCGCGAAACAAGGTTTCACTTGTAAAGGTAGATAACTTTGTAATAGTTTGATTTTATCTTTTAGTTCTTTATATTAATTAACTTTTCTTTAGATTGTGGTTACAATTGTCATGCTAGATGTGAAATGAAAGTTCCACCTATTTGTACAAAGGAAAAGGGTAAAATTGTTAAAGGGCTTGTTCGATCTGAAACATTCTCAAATCCGGCATCTCCTTGGGGAACCATTTCTTGTAAATACCTTAATTATTATAATTTAAATTTATTGATTTTCAATTCAAATACTTATCTAACATAACATAGCAATGTCTAATTATACGTTGAGTGGTGAATCGGCCCCATCTATATTTTCTGTGACAGAAATAACAGAAAGAGAAGATGTATGGACAGCGGAAGTTTTATATGACCATGTTGCCGATACTAAAGCAGAGCTTACTGTATCAACTGGTGACATTATCACTGTTTTTGAGCCAGATGGTAATAATTAATTTTTTTTTTAATTAAAACAATATTTGTAAAAAAAATATCTAATTATATTCAAAAATTATTTATAGATGGTTCTGGATGGGTTAAGGTATTAGAAGAATTGTATGCTTTTATTTTATAATAGTATTAAATAATATATTCTTATATTTCTTATTTTTTAGGCATTTCATAATGGAAAAGAAGGATTGGTTCCAGCATCGTATATTGAATATCAGAATTTAACAACTGATTTTGGTAATTGAAATTTATTCCAAAAGTGATTTCACGATTTAATGGAACGTGTAATAATTATATTTTAACAATAATTCATTTCAATTTTTTTTAAAAAAATCCAGTTAAAGTACTCTATGATTATGAATCACAATCCCCTGAAGAATTAACGATAAAGGAAGGCGATGTTATTCAGGTTACTAATAAAGAAGTTGCTGAAGGATGGTGGGAAGGTATGGATTTATTTTTATTACAAGATATTTTAATTTTTTAGAAAAGAAAAGTATTAAGTATTTATTTAATTCATTATATAAAGGCATACTTGATGGTATTACGGGCCAATTTCCCGCAAATTATGTGACCCCGTTGGAAGAATAATTGAGTTGATTTTTTCTTCAATTGAATAAATATTTTATTTTTATTTATTTATTATATTTTAATTTAAGAAAGATCACATACATATATATATTATTATTATTGTTTTATAAATATTTAATGAACACTGAATAATTTCTATTTGTATTTTGTATATACCATTAATTATATGTTATTATAATGGATTTTTTAATTTAGAACAATAAATGCTGCTTATTGTATAATAAATCAATGTATGCATTTGAATGATGGATTAAAAAATCAACTAATGAATTTTTAAATCACATTTTGTTACAATAGAATATCAAAATTTTTATCTTTCTCCGATATATCCGTCCTGGAAGATTACATATGTCATTATTAACCCAATCATATTTTCAAAAAAAAATAAAATAAAATAAAATTATCAACATACCTTTTCGAGCACTAACACTATTTGATGGCAAATTTCACTGACACACTGTTTACTAACATCAACAACAATATCGGCATCAACTGGTGCCTCGTAAGGATCATCAACTCCGGTGAAATTTTTTATTTCACCAGATTGTGCTTTCTAATAATGTTATTAAATTTTTAATTATTATTTTTAATTAATTATATTATTTATAAATTTCTAATTAAATATACGTTAATGGAATTTTACCTTATAAATTCCTCTTCTATCAGTCTTGATACAATAATCAAGAGGGGTGTTAACATGAATTAAATAAAAACCTCCGTATGTTTCAACATGAGATTTAGCTTGAGCACGTGCTTCGGCAAACGGAGCAATTGGGGCTGCAATAACAGCTGCACCAGCTTTTGTTAGCTCTGCTGACACAAAAGCTATACGAGCGATGTTTTGATCTCGATCTCTTCTAGAGAATCCCAATTCTGAAAAGAGATTTTTTTTGTTTTGAGAAATTGCATAAATTTCTTTTTACAAAGGATTTAATAAAAACATACCAGAAGAAATTCCATGTCTAACAGTTTCTCCCAATAACAAGGTAACAGATCTACCGCCTTGTTGATTTAATACAACCTCTAAAGCTTTACCAATGGCCTTTTTACCAGAGTTGTAATAACCAGTTAAAAACAACGTAAATCCTTGTTTAGATCTTGGAGGATGAGTCTCTCTTAAAACTTTTACGACTTCAGGATAAGAAAACCATTCAGGAATATGACCACCATTCCTTAATCTTCTTCTTAATTCTGTACCAGAAATATTTAACGTTGTTGTGCCTTCTGGTACTTCGTCCACTGGCAAATATTCATCTGAATCAGGAATATATGTCACCATTTGGAATGGTACGACTTCAATTTCTAATTCGTCTTGATATTTTGCAACTAGTTTCTAGAAGTTCACAGAATTGTTTTAGATATTTTACACACACAAATATATATAAATTTACTTATTAGTAATTGCTTCCTTACCTGTGCATCATAAGGTCCATAAAAATCGACACCTTTGGAATTCTTTCCAGGTCCAGCATGATCTCTTCCGATAATAAAATGAGTATTACCAAAATTTTTTCTAATGATAGCATGCCAAACTGCCTCTCTGGGTCCTCCCATTCTCATAGCTAAAGGTAATAAACTCAACGCTGCCATTCCATTAGGATATTTTGGCATAAGAGCTTGATAGACTCTTACTCTTGTATAATGGTCGATATCACCTGGTTTGGTTAATCCAACTACAGGATGAATTAAAACATTTGCTTGTCTATTACGTGCTGCTCTAACTGTTAATTCTCTATGAGCTCTATGCATAGGATTACGTGTCTGGAAAGCAACAACTCGAGTCCAATGAAGTTTATTGAAATGTGCGCGAAGTTCTGCAGGTGTATCTAATTGAACATAATGATGGTTTTTATTCTTGATTCGTGACGTCGTAGAAATAAAAACAAATGCAAACGTGACAACTTACGTCGATGTGCTATATAATCATAATGAATTGGACTCTGAATAGCTTCAACAGTACCACCAACATAGAATTCCTTCGCTTGAGTATGCAAATATTTTACTCCGGGATGAAGGATATCATCGTCACCAAAAACTTTTGTCGCTTCTTCAATTTTATTAGGTTTATATATATCTTGTATGGTTAAAATGGATAATGGCGCATCGTCACGAGGATCACGTAATACTATTCTCTTTTTTGATTCTAATCCTAAAGTTTCTATATCTTGATCGGATACATCGAGAGTGATTGGCATAGAAAATAATAGGCCATTTTTCAATCGGAGATTATTGACGACACTAAATAAAAGATTTCGAAAAAAGTCAAAAAATAAAAATAAATAAAAACAAAAGAATTAAAAAAGCAATTAGGTGAAATTGAATTATAAGTTGTAAAATTATATTAACCTTTGATAATCCTCTTGATTCATAAATCCTTCTAACGGTGAAAATCCCCCATTCATTATTAATTCCAAATCGCATAATTGACGATCGGATAATACGATAGAAGGCAATTTTTCAACTTCTGCTAGTAATTGTTCCTTTTTTGGAGCATCTCGAGCATGTAAATCTTTTAGAACACCACCGTGAGGGATATTAGCCATTTCGTTTAAATATATATTTATTTTTTAACAAAAAAAGAAAAAATTAATTTTAACCTTTTTTTTTCATCAATTTCATCCCTATTTATCAAAAAAAAAAATTTTTTTTTTTTTGTAGACGATCACATCATCGCATTATTTTGGGGATGTGTTTTTTTTAAAAACGTGGTAATGAACGAAAATATATGCTGATCATTATATAATTTTCACGTGTTCTCCGTGTTTCATCTATTATTGGTTGAGCTGGTAGGCATATAGGATTATAAATCAATGACGACATTTTCTTTGCCAGTGGCGAAATTTTTTTTTCAGTTTAAAGTTTATTTATTTCTCGGTTTTCCCATTTCCTGATAATCTCGGATTCAATAATTTGTTTTCCTAATATGGCATATTCATAAGAAGGAGAAAGAATCACATAATTTAATCAGAGATATCTGTGAATCAGCAATTTTTAACAATTCAAACGAGATTCTATTTTTAGTTCATTGTAAAGAATTCGTAATCACTAGTTTTTGTTTTTTTTTATTTCATAATGGTATACAGCCAACGGTGATATAAAAAAAGCGAAAGGATAATGTGTTAGAGAATAAAGCACAATTTTAATAAAGTAAAAAAGGTCCTCTTAATTGTGATGGCGTCACAGGCAGTCACACTTTTTTTAGTGGAATGTACGTTTTCGCACATGACCTTGAAATTGTTTTATTAAATTATATCTGAAGAAAACTTGGACGATGACCAATGACTCTTAATGCTTGTGACTTGGAAATTATAATCAACCTAGGAAACAACATTCGAGCAAATTTTTAATAGATATGACACAAGTATGAAAAAAATTTGATTCACATATGTCGTGCATTCACTCCAAAATCACGAGAAATTTTATTCATTTTGCACTAAAGAAAAACTTTCTTCAAAATGGACACGTTTCGTTTGCAATACTCATACTGTAAAGCCACCTATAAAAATTCGAAAAAAAAAATAATCCCTTGAATCTTAACCGCTACCACCCAACCCGCTAATAATTCTTATTAAAAGGGTTGCCCCTTTCCAAATATTGCTTTCCGACCCTTTTAACAAGGGTCGTAAAGACGTATATTGGTATAGTTTGCAATTAGCAATAATCTGGCCTCGGATAAATCCTCACTGGCGCAGATAATGCCCGTGCACAAGGATAGGGAACGTTACTCGAGGATTTTGGTCATATTTATATAGAAATTTGGGATTTTAGTAAATTATGGGTTTCGAGTCGTACAAACGCATATATCACATGACATTTCTTGTAACACTGTTGCGCCATGATTTTATTTATTTACATAATGAAATTACAATTAAATTATTCTGTATCTATTAAAAAATTATAAGAGTAACTAATACACATTTATTATCTTACTAAACCGATTATTATTCTATTATGTTCTTAATCTCTTTTTTGAGATCGAAATAAATTCATCCTCACTCGAAGAATCACTATAATTACTGCTATCGTCATGATTCCAATCAATACTTGAATCGCTATAATATCTTATCTTTTTGCTTCTATGCTTCTTCCTGTTGAAAGTAATAGGAATCACATTTCTAACAGTTTCGACCAATATTACTTCATCATCATTATTATCGTCGCTAATTTCGATTACTTCATTAGGTGGTGATTCCGTTAAATCAATGAACTCTGAGTCAAACTCATTTCGGTTAATATCTATCAAGTTTTCTTCACCCTCAACTTTGTTTACAATAGATGTTTCATTCTCCTCTTCTTTATCATTAATTGAAATCTCTCTAATTCTCTCATTAAGTTTTTCATTAGCAGCTAATTCAACATCTCCCCTGTAGTTTATAATACTTCCATCTGTTATAAGTTCGATCATCTTACTTTCAATTTCAAAATTTCTTCTCTCAGCTACCTCTTCATTAAGTGGATTGCTTTTTACTTGTTTGTTCAAATTCTCTCTAATAACCTCATAATTTGGACTCTCGCTTTCAACTTTATCTTTCTCTTGAAATCTCTCGCTCTCAAATACTTCCTCTTCTTCATTTTCAAAATTGCGAATATTTTCCATTTCTTCATCATTTTTATAACTAGTTATTAATGGTGAATATTCTTCCTCAATTCTAACGAATATTTCTTCCTTTCTGTAATCATCAGAACCATCATTTTCAAAATTGCGAATACTTTCTACTTTACCATCATTATTAACACTAATATTTGGTGAATATTTTTCTTCAATTCTAACATATACTTCTCTTTTGCTGTAATCAATTATTTCTTCTCTATGCTCACTTGTTACTATCTCATCATCAGATTCATGGGATTGCTCATCTTCGAACAAAATATTTTTAATTATACTCCTCCGTGAATTATCCGGAGATTCAATCAAATCAAACCCTTCATTTTGTAACCATTCTTTTGTTTGGTAACGAATATGTAGTTCAACAATGGGTTTATTGGAGGTTGCTCTTAAGTTTGGCATAGGTTCATCTTGTGGTTTTTCCAAACATATAACATCTCGAGGATCGATATTATCTAAATCGGGTGATTCTGGAATCATTTCTTGGTTATTTCTAATCTGCGACATGAACCGTTTCCCATGTAACCTTTCTGCAGTAAATACATAGACGGAAATTACGCCCGAATCTTTAGACGATTTCGTGCACTTTTTTGGAAGATTAGATACAAAAATTTCATCATCAGTCCAACAATTTGTATCGAATTTAAACTTGTGAAAAACCGTCTTATCATAGTTATAAAAACCGTATATATAGGTATATGGATCGTCGCTTAAAGGGTTAAGTTCCATGTATGTATCGTCATTTTGACCATCGACATAATGTACTCCTTTATAAACCATCGAACCTAAAGTAGAATGAACCCCCACTCTTATACAAAAGTGACAACTATAATATGGAGCCTCTATATATGTTATAGTCTGTTTTTCTCTAGATCTAGTTAACTTAGCCTTCTCACTTAACGATACCTCGTACTCTGGTAATACTTCATTGTCAACGAGGATTTCCAGTGAAAAGTCTCCCTTGCGCATTTTGTTATTTCTCAAAAGGATAAATTTATTTTTTACCGAAAAAGTATAATTTTTTTTTAAAAAAAAACGAAGTCATAAATGGTAAGGATCTGACTCGAATAGTAGAGTTATAACAATGGAACAATGAAAAAGTGTTCAATTTAGCCAAGAGTATTAATAATCGGCCCGATATATCATCCCTTATGGGAAAAAAAATGTTACGCATATGACGCGTGTTATGGAAATTTAGTTCCATTCTTGTATAATTCTGACGATAAAATAAATAAAATAAATGTCGCGACACATAATTTCCAAGATTGTACTCGTGTCATGTAATCAATTTTTTTTGTCATCATATTATATATATAAACAAAATTTTTTCAATTATTTTCAGTAGGCTACTTGCCAAGTGAAAAAAGTTTTTATTTTTCGTAGCTTTGGTAACATGAATACGACTTTCGAAATGCCGTCGCAAACAGCGACACCTCTCCAGTATACGCCTATTCTTTCTTTTATGTCGGACAAACAGCTTGCATTGTTTGTCCCGTTCGTAGTTTATTGGATATATTCGGGTTTTTACCACCTAATTTCGATTTATGAAGTTTCTTTTTTTGAAAAATATAGAATTCATAGTCTTATTGAAGTAGAAACAAGAAACAAAGTTTCTATGGGTGAAGTGGTTAGAGCTGTTTTATTACAACAATTTTTACAGACTTTACTGGGTTTATTATTAGTTGTTGTCGAAGACGACGATGTTTTATTAGATGATGAGGTTGAATTGCTAGGCTATCGACAAACGTTAGAGGCTATGGCAACAATTTTTGGTCTGTGGAATCTGCTTGAGCCTTATCAAAATATTATCATAGAGACATCATACTGGTATTTTATTCCATTATCCCGATTTTTATTTGCAATGTAGGTAACCATTTTTATATAATCGGTTTTACCTAATTAGTAGATTAAATTTGGAAAATTTTTTTTACGATTTCTAATTTATATATTTTAAAATTAGGATTTTTTTGGATACATGGCAATATTTTATGCATAGGCTTTTTCATCAAAATAAATTTCTCTATAAACACATTCATTCATTACATCACAGACTACATGCACCATATGCTTTTGGTGCACTTTATAATCATCCCATTGAAGGTTTTGTGATGGATTCCGTGGGTGCCGGATTGGCATTTAAATTATCAGGGATGACAACCATCGGTGGAATGATATTTTTTGGATTCGCAACATTTAAAACCGGTAAGAGAACCTTTTTTTTTTTTAGAGTTTATTACAAATACATAACTCGATTCTTTGTTACACAGTCGATGATCATTGTGGATATGATTTACCGTTTAACCCGGTTCAAAAAATTTTCGGTAATAATTCAGCCTAGTAAGTTTGCTATAATTTATTCTAATAGACGATTCAAGATCTTTTTTCTTACATATCAACTTACTTGTAGCCATGATATCCATCATCAATCATACGGGATTAAAATGAATTTTTCTCAACCGTTTTTCACTATATGGGATCGAATTCTTGGAACTTATCTACCAGAACCTCCAAAATCATTAAAAGAGTATCAATCCTCTCAGACAACCACCATTCATAGTCTTACATTAAAGGATCGTGAAGCTATTGATCACAAAGATGAGCCAGATGTCTTTAAAATCCAGGAAACAATTTCCGCAGGAATTTCTCCGAGATATAATTTGAGACCACGAAAAACTCTTTCGTCAATCTAAATTTATAATTATATTCTTTACCCGATTTTATTATCGCGAGAATTCACGATGATATATTTAAGAACATTATTTTTAATAGATTACTAATTGTTAAATTATATTAAAGTTAAATATTGTAGGATTAATTTTTTAATAAATAATATCAACTAATTGAAAACAATAAAACTACGGTTAATTAGTTCCGGATTTCACTTTAAAATTATAATTTACATGAATCAAATAGTGCATGTGAAATATGTGAAATTGAAACCTTTAATAAGCGTTGTAAAATGCTTTATTTTAAGTCGTATATTTTTTGAAGATTCGATAACAGCCAATAGGAAAATTTATGTCATCAGATTATCAGATAAAAAAATTAGGGGTTACCGAATCCTAAATAAAAATTTTTTTTTCATCTTTCATATTATGTTTCGTTCAAAAGTTCTTTTTTATTCATCTTTCAATTTGTCTTTATTAAATAAACAACCATTTATAATTATAAATAGAAAATATAGTAAACATACACATCCTCCTCCATCTGAAATAGTAAAATTATCGTATACACAATACGATCCACCAGAATTTAATGAAACAAATGAAAATCCATATTTAATAATTCTTCATGGTCTTTTTGGTTCAAAACAAAATTGGAAATCACTAGCTAAAACTTTCGCTCAACGTTTAAATACGCGTGTTTTTACTTTGGTATTTGAAACTTTTTATTTTTTACAAACTTTTCCTTTTTTGAAAAGTGAATTATTTATAATTCTGATAGGATTTAAGAAACCATGGGGAAAGTCCACATTCACCTGTTCATAATTATGAAGTTATGTCGGATGATGTTGCAGCATTTATCAAAGAACATAAATTATATAAGACAGCTATCATGGGACATTCTATGTACAAATTCTTGCAACTCATCTTAATACTGCAATAAAAAAAAAATAGTAACATATTTATTTATATATAGGGGAGGAAGAGTAGGCATTGCTATGGCACTTAGACAAGTGCCACATATAGAAAAGCTTGTAGTTGTTGATAGTGCACCAGTTAATTCCAGAATGTCTTCAGAATTTTTCACTTATATTGACGTAATGAAAAAAATTGAACAAGCTGGAATCGTAAAACAAAGCAAAGCTGATGAGATTATGAAAGATTATATTTCTGTAGGTTATTATTATTTTTATTAATTTATTTAACTTATATTGCTTTGTGTCTAAACGACTTGCCAAATAATTGCTTATTTTTAGGATATTTCAATTAGACAATTCTTATTAACAAATCTTAAAAAAGACCCCGAGACAGGATTATATAAATTTCGAATTCCTTTGGATATTTTAAGTGATTCGATGGGAGAATTAGGCAGATTTCCATTTGATTCAGCTCATCACACATTTCATAAAAAAACTTTATTTGTAGCTGGAACAAGATCCAACTATTTACCTCCAAAGGTAATATAACAAGAAGTAATTGAAGTAATTTTTACATTTAAAAAATTTTTTTTTTATTTTTTCTCCATAAGGTTTATCCAACAATACGAACATTTTTTACTAATGCGGTCATTGCAGAATTAGATACTGGACATTGGGGTAATATTCTTTGTTTAATCTTTTAGAATGTTCACAAGAAAAACTAAACGTTTTTTTTTTCTATTTAGTTCATGCCGAAAAACCCCTAGAATTTGCTGCTATAGTGACTGATTTTATAGTTAAAAACTAGCAAAAGGTTAACCTTTAAAGAACAACCCTAGTGTCACCCGGAAAAATGGTAGTCGGATTGATTTGCAGGCTTACGCGTGACTTCGGACAAAAATTGAAAGCATTTCGATAAAAATCTTAATAAAAAGACAATTGAAACGTTTTTTATTTCAATTATAAAATTTAATTATCATTCCCACATTGTATTATTATTAAATCTTGCCATGTTTTTGCCATCGTTCTTGTGATGATATTCATTCTTTCCAGCGATTGAACATTTTTTGACCATAAAATACTTTTAGTTTTGTTAAGTGATTCTTCTAGCAACTCATTGGCTTAAATGCAATTGAAATTAAAAAATGCAATTGAACTACATACAAAATTCTTATTATATATAATATATAAGTACTTTTCCCAAGATTTCATGTAAAATAAGTCAAATCTGCTTCATATGTATCTCTCTTCATTACTTCAATAATATAATCATTTTCATCCATCGCCCTCTGAGATAAATGTAATTATGTGATGAGCATTTCAATTCATAATCGATCCACCTTTTCTAAATAAAATCTAGAAAGATAAAAAAGTTCAATACAAAGATTTATGTTTAACTTTTCATTTTTCTCCTTCATATGACACATTTGTATTATTTAAGGAAATTAAAAGGCTATATACGGCTTTATGATATCACTATAGCTCTTAGTTGTCATATAAAATTGACCAATAAAAAGTGATCACTCGGTCCAACAAAAATTGTCCATGATTACCTGTGCTAAAGTAACTTCTTTGGGTAAAATTAGCATCTATTTGTTTTGTATACCCCCTCTCCATACAGTATAATAAAAATAAAAAAGGATTGTATGTGTTTTGGCAAAATAGATTATCCATGTCCTAATAAATTCGATTTTGAATACACCATTTTACAATTATACAATATAACTGTCCGGTTAAAAACACGTTCGGATGCGGTATACTGTATAGCGTTTTATTATATAAATTCGTTATAACCAGCACAATAAAATTTCGGCTCAGAGTTGACTGTATACAGTTCTCTATAGCGAATTTTTATATAGTGAATAACTTGCTATAATGAAGAAAAATTCAGGTACAGATTTTTTTTAAGTATAGTGAATTTCTCACTATAATCTCCAGCCCATGGGATTCACTATAGTGAGGGGGTGAACTGTAAATGAACCCGGCTACTATTTTTTCCGGGTGACTCCATTTTTAAAGCATAATGATTTCATGGTTGATCGGCTTAGTATTACATTAAATAAAGGGCCTATGCATTCAACTTAAACTTTCTCATTTCGCTTATACTTCCATACGTTTAAAAGAAAATGAACCGATACGTCACTATTCGTCCTTCTCTGAACCGATTATTTTTAGCAGGAATATTGATTATATGTAGTTTATGTGTTATACCCGTGATATCTCGATTTGCTACGTTTGGTAGTAAGCAAATTGCTTTTACAGGTCCTTTACTACCTCCACAAAGACAATTTCCTTTTACTGAAAGTAAAAAAAGTTTAGAAGAATTAGATCAAGAATTATTTAATGATATTTTACCATCAGTCTCTCTTTATACAAATCGGGGAGTTAATTTACAAGTCAGCAATTTAATATCTTTGATTCTTTTTTACCAATTAATGGAATTATATATATATTTGTAGTTCTTTTAATTATTTTTTTTTGTTTATAGACAACAAGTCTAACATGTAAAATGTGTCGTTCCATTGCTTCGAAAATTGGAGAAATTATGATGTTAAACGTTACCCAAACTATAGCAATCGAAGAAGGAATTCTTATCTGTACAGCGTTTAGAATTCAACCTTATCGCGTGGTAAATAATTTACTAAGTGTAAACGATGTATTTTTTTTTTTATAAAATCATTATTTCCTAAAGGAAAAGGTTTATTTTCTAACTAGTGTGCAGAAATTTTGCCAAAATTTGGACCATGGGCCATGACAGTTTTAGCAAATTCAGTATTTTCAGCAGATAATTTATGTTCAAAAGCTCATTTATGCCCTAAACTTGATCATCCTGAAAAACCTGAATTGATTGATCTTCCACCCCCAAGATCTTCCGAATCTGTAGAACCTACTACCATCAAACCAAATGAATCATCTCAAGATGATGAAAAAATGTGGGTTGTCCATTTAAGTGACTGGCATTTCGATCCAGAATATTCTGAAGGGTATGAAGTTAATTGTGGTGAACCAGTTTGTTGTCGACCACCTAATGCTTTTGGTGATGAGGCAACAACTCCAGCTGGAAAATGGGGAGAATATAATTGCGGTAGGTGGTGATTAATCTGAAATCTTAATGAAGAATTATGTGACTAATTATTATATTATTAGATGCTCCAAAGAGATTGATTGAAAGTATGTTGGAATTTATGCCTAACGTGGTACCGAAAATTGATTATATTTTATCAACTGGGTAATCATTATTATATTATTATAAATTCGATTGTATTTTATTTTTATTTTTTTAACTTTACCTAACTTTTCCCGATCTTCCACGTGATTAGTGACTTACCCCCACATGGTATGTAAAAATTGATTTGGAGTATTATATTATTTAAACTTACCCTCATCTTACACTTTAAAGATGTTTGGGCTGAGACACAATCATCGATAAAGGAAATAACAAATAAAACAGCGAATATTTGGCGTAAATTCTTTACATCAGCCCCATATTTTCCAATTATTGGAAATCATGAATCAGCACCTGTAAATTCATTTCCAACATCATCTCTCGACGATGTTTCCTCGGTTTCTTGGTTATATGATACTTTATCATCACAATGGAATATTTGGTTGACTCATGATGAACGTCAATCTATTGAACAAAGAGGATTCTATTCAGCAAGAATACCCAATGATAATATGCGAATAATTGGATTAAATACTAATTTCTGGTATAAATTTAATTGGTGGATGCTTATGAGACCAAAATCTGAATGGGACCCTGAAAATATGTTAAATTGGTTAATTAAAGAATTAGATGATGCAGAAAGGCTTGGAGAAAAAGTTTGGATTCTTGGGGTATATTTTAAAAAGAATTTTAAATGTTATTTTGCAATTTGTACGAGTTCACAAAATATAATATGTATTTGCATTATTAGCACATGATAGCTGTAAGTGGAGATGCATTCCCATCTTTTAATAGCTATTTCTCTCAAATAGTTGCAAGATATAAGGACATTATTGTTGGACAATTTTTCGGTAAATTTGAAAAAAAATCCTTAAGTATTTGATTCTCCATATATGTATAAGATGATCGAATTTATTTTTTATTTAACAGGACATACTCACTGGGATGAATTTCAAGTAATTTATGATTATCATAATGGTAATGAACCGCGACCAGTTGGTGTCGGTTATATGGCACCTAGCGTAACAACATTTAGAAATGTGAATCCTGCTTTTAGGTAATTTTCTAATAATTTATTATTATTATTATTAAAGATATATTATTTATTGTATATATTTTTATTTATTTAGAGTATATAAAATTCATAAGAAAACCAAGAAAATTTTAAATCACTATACTTATTATTTGGATATTGAGGAAGCAAATCGTAAAAATAAACCTGAATGGAAATTATTATATGATGCTAAATCATTATATAAATTACAAGATTTTGAACCGCAGAGTTGGCATGGTAAATGAATTTTTTATATATTTGTATATGTATTTTATTAAAATTTTAAAAATTTTAAAATTTTATTACTATTGTGCTTTTTAAATTATTTAGATTTATCTGAAAAATTCTTAACTGATGATGATACGTATCAAACATTTAAGAAGACCGCTTCACGTAATCAGGCATTAAATAAATATGGATCATGCAATACATTTGAATCATCACAACAATGTAAAAAGCGAATTGTATGTAAACTTAGAAGCACATTTTCAGGACATGGACCATTTTCATCACATGAATTGTGTAAAAAACAAATGTGGATACCACAATTACCCGAAGATTGGTTTTTAACAGCAACACTTGGTAAAAAAGTTAATGTATTTGTTGATATGGATAAATTTGAAGGGGAAGAATATGGAGATGGAGATGGAAATATGAATGATGAAGATTATGGAGATAACTTAGATAGTTTATTTGAATCACAAGATGATAATGATAAATCTGGAGATGGTGAAAATGGAGATGATAATAAACCTGATGATGATATTACTATTGAAGGATTATCTAAAATTCTTGTTAGAATGGCTTTGGGATTGGTTTTAGGTGGCGATGATGCTATTTGTAGATAAATTCTTGTAAACTTTATGTAGAATAAGTATGAAAATCGAGGAAATAGTGAATTTTATTTATTATTTGTTACGTTTTAATTAACGTAAATTCTTTCCTGAAAGAATGTTTAAATACGAAAATTGAGTATTTTTATTTATTTATTTTATTTATTCTTTCTCTTATTTAAAAATAAAGTGAGAATAGGACTTTACAAATGTTTTTTCTTTATAGAAATCACAATTTAGCTTAGTGCAACCATATTTAATGTAGATATACAAAATTATAACCAAACATAACGTTTATTGAAATTAATTAGAAATTTTTATAATCCTTTTTCCCTTTTCTACAAACACTTTTCCCTCTTATACAAATAATTAATATTATTCTTTTATATCTCAGTAATAATGATCATTGCCCGAAAAATTTTTGCTATAGCTTTTTTCATTAAGAACGATCAGGATCAGATTTATGATATAGTTATGAATAAAACATGCCATATTTTACAATAATAACAGATCATATATCTTAGGCTCTTAGTATAATAACTATTGATCGAATTTTCAATGACAGTTCCCTAAAAATATTTCAAGATCATCCATTCATCCAGTTAACAGAGATAGCACTTTTGAAATAGTACGTAAAATTTTCTGTTTTCATTTCATTTAACTGTATAACCGTTAGCATAATTAAATTTCATATTTCGCGTTCTCATAAACAAAGTTAGATTTATTTTTTTTGGTCTTCATTAAGATCTTATCGGCTAAAAGATTTGACATCCTGATAAGAAACACAACTATTGAAATAGCATCTTCCTGACTGGCTTGTGAATGTAGTAAAGACTGATGAAGTTTACCATGATCCATTCGACCAAACAGAATTATTATTGTCTGAAGTTCTACAGAAAATTTTGTTAAAGTAAAAAATAGTACAAAATAAGATATTTGAACGATATTACGAAACTTTCTATCAAGTCAAGTCAAACGCATTGACTAAGGTAGTATCCTAAAGAGGGTAGGGTTACTTATCAAATGAAACTCATATAGTCAATTTTTCCCGTGAAATAGATCATAAATTATTTTGAGTTCTTCCTATCTACGGAAAATTCGATGCTTGATGGTAATTGAAATTTCGTCCGGATTATAAAGTAGAAATGCATATCCCATAAAAATAATCGAAACCACGCATTTCCGCTTTCGTTTTCTCGGTACAAATATTAGAGCATGATATCCTAAATAAAAGAATAAAAATAAATGAGATGAATGATAAAATTATCTTGGAAAGTTTGACTTATTTTAAGTTTCAAAAGGATCTGGAAGTAAAAGACCAATTGGAGAAAGAGAAGTCAGAGCAGAAGAGTCCGCGTCAAAAAGAAAAGAATTTTATTCGAACGGCAAGAAGGAATTCATCGTTCGGATCGGCAAATTCGGACATGATTCAAGACCGTCACGGATGGGCTTTGGATGGACTCATAGAAAAGGAGGCGAATATGAACAAAGAAATAATAAATCCTTCGGTTGAACCTGAGGAAGTAAAGATTGTCGTCTCTCAGGAACGACCAGCAATCACGTGATCTTGAGGATGAGTTTGAGTGATATAAGTAATGACGATGTTCCGGATGAATAGACAAATCGACCCATTTACAACCTCCTAAAAAAACCAAGGAACTCCCTGACGGAAGACGACGTGATTGATTACTTAAATGAATGTAGAGCGGAGATATTTCACAAGATGGAGTACACGGAACAATATGATCGCAACGTTTGGAACATGTTAATAAATCAGTTAGTAGATGACACATCTCATTCAAACGTAATCCCAACAAAAGAAGCGATCAAAGAATTCGATGATAACAATAAGATGATGAATGAACGTCTTGCCAAAGAAGATAAACGACTACAGCACCGGAAAGGACAAGGCCGGTTAAAGTAAAGAAAATAGAGGCAAAGAAATAGTATTATCGTGTTTAGGAAGGTAAGTTTTTTTAGGATAGTCTTGTATGTGGGTTTTTTGCTAAAATCGTAGATAGTAAATTTTTTACATTAAATGTACGTGGAGTACCACGATATTAAATTAACTAGCAAAATAACCATTACGTTTTTTTTTTATGTTTTTGGAGCGGTTAATTTAAATTTTGGGTTCAATAGTAAAAAGGGGATAACTGTTAGTTTAACAATAGACTGACTAAAGGAGAGGATCGGCTTACTTTGTTCGTAGTTAGGAAGAATAACAAAGGGAGGTATCTATTCCATCTATTCGATGTACATAAATGTAGTTGTATAATTTTTTTTTTTGTATTAGTTCTGCATCTATTACAAATAAATTGTTAACGCTTACCATTAAAATAAAATAAAATTATCCTATTCCTAAGTAAACTTGTCCGGAATTTTCATCACTATTATTTCGTATTCAGACCTTCGTGTTGATTTCTTATTCGTAACATCTCTTACAATATAATTGATCGCAAGATCGCAATATAGATAATTGTATTGCTCTATCCACGTTTTTAGCCTGATTAAAATTTCAGCCACACAACGCTCGTCGGGAGTCAAATCACGTGTGAATAATGGGATAGTATCTCAATTTCAATGTTGTACTATACTTTACCAACTGCAATACGATGAGAACGGGCCTCTTTACATTCTTTAGCGAAGTTTTCACATTTATATCTCTGATGCCTTGCTTGATCATGTTGAGGAAGTCACGTAATCACGTCTAAAATTCTTATATTTGTTCATATAATTCTCCTGCATAAGTTTCGAATTTTCCCACAAAAAAGTGATAAGTTTTTCTGTATCATTTTTTAATATCGTCCGCTAACGTTAGGCGAATTATTTCGGTTGTAATAGTGGTAAAAGCGGAAGTAAATTTTTTTTTAAAACTCACGATAATTAATCAATATTATCTAATGGAGGAATGTTACTTTATCAGGATTAGTGTATATTTATTTTATCAGACTTACAAGAGAACTTTCAATAATGGCATCATTAAAGTAAAAAAATTAAAATAATGCAGAATTATGGCGAACAATATCTAAGATTGTACTATGCACACTTTTTTTTTATTCGTTGCTTGATTATTGATTACAATTTTCAATTATTTTCAAAGTTTAATTAAATAAAATACGATGTCAATTAATAACGCTTCTTCCTTAAATTCATGATTTTCTCGCATTTAGCTGAGGAAATGTATTTTTGAATATTAGTATTTCTGCTGATGTGAAAATCTGAGATATTCCGGAAAATCTAGAAAATTAAAATCTGCAGACATGTAATACTTAATTGTCTCATCATAATCCAAGGATTTTTTTCTTCACAACTTGCTTCCAAACAATCTGCCAAATGATAGCAACCATAGAACCCCATTCATAGCAATTAAAAAAAGAAAACCAAGAGGAAGCTCTCCAATGATCTGATGATCGAAGTTATGTCTTTTAATAAGCTCCACCTCAAACGTAGGACAATCTTCTGAAAATTCATGCTCATATAGTAATATACCCTATTACTTATTATAAATTTTATATTAAAATTTTTATAACTACCTTACTATTGGAGACTCATTATAAATAGGGTGAAATTTACTTGTTATTCTTTCATAGAAATAAAAATTAAATCATACACTTTAAAATTCTTATCGAAATTGCTATCCACATCCGGGATTTAACTATACTGAAACGATTATCTATTCACTTATGTTACAGTGTGAATGCATCGGAAAATTTTAAGTCCGAACTATAATACTTTCCCACGATTAAAATTAGGTACCTTGAAAAAAAAAAGATTTTAGAGAACGTGATATTGATTATGTAATTGTTATATTACAAATGAAATGACTAAATAAATACATACGATTTTCTTATGACCAATAAAGAGTGTGCACGGTAAGATGTTGTTTTTAGATAATTATATTCCGTAATTAGTATTTCCGCTTTTAGTTCTTTCGTTATTAGATGGTCTTACGAGGTAAGTAACTTTATTGTTTACTCGATACACTTGCTAATCTTAATAGCATATGATAGGCTATCGCTGAAATGCCGGTGCGTTCAATGTCAACGTGGTGATAAACTTTAGGATTTATCCACACTTAATAAAAAACCTTACGAAACCCTATGCGTAACCCCTTGCGGTTGAAACAACCATTCTACTCTTATTTTTCCAGTGATTATTTTGTTTACTTCCTTTTTAAATTAAAAAAAAAAAAGGTTTATTAAATTATAAAATTTCATGGTTTTGTTTTTAGCAGTCTTTTAACTTTGTTAAAGAGTGGGGGAAAATGTCACGTGGAAGTGTTTTCGCAGGAACAAAAGAGTTCGACGAAGGTTAGTTTAAACAACAAATTATTATTTCAATATATAATATAATGTATTTTATTTATTTATTTATTTATTTTTTTAAATAAAAAAAGATGGTTCGGGAATTTACAAACCTGATTCTGATTTCTGGGAAAGTGAAAAAAAAAACATTTCCAAGAACCTTTGGCTCACATAAATAATGTTTGTACAATACTTTTTCTTTCTTTCTTTCTTCTTTTCTTTTTTCTTTTTCTTTTTTCTTTTTTTTTTTGAGGAATTTTAGAATTTTTTTTTTTCTTTTTTTTATGTTATCCGTTATTTGTTACTGTTATTATCTTTTAAAGTAAAATAAGAATCTAGCCTATAATTAATTAGCTCATCTGTGATGCTGTGTAACTGTGTCAGATGGGTTATACAATTATGGGTTGTAATATAATCGAATAAGGTAATAATTGAAAGGGCTATATATACAATGAATTTCATAACTCTATCCAATAACAATGCCAAGAGAAAAAATTTTCTTTGTTTCTTTGTTCTAATAAACTGCGCAAAAAAAATAATTTGTGATTACAAATTAACAAAAAATCTAAAAGAAAAATACAAGATTTGATCAGGAGATATACAAGCAAAAAAAAAATATATATATATATTTTTAGTTAATAAAATTATGCATTGATAATATTATTTTGTAATACGACACTTTCTGAATGAAGTGATCTTTAACTATGGTTTTCCCATCTTCCCCAAGAATTTTGAATTTTGTTAAGAAATGCTCTTAAATTTGATAATCTTTCACTAAAAATACAACATAGACTTTTCTTTTTTTAGAATTCCTAATTTGTGAACACGAACACTACATTAATATTTATTTATTTTGATTTATTCGAATTTAACATTCCAAATTTGTTTAGTGATTTCAAGTTTTTAGGAATAATTAATATATGAAGATCAATCATTATATTTGTTTTTTTTCTTTGTTAAAATAACTTATATGTTTGAACCAATCTAATAAACTATTTCAAAAATGTGGTAACGAATTTGTTTATGATAATTGTAATCATAGTAAGTACTGCGTACTTAAAAGAAAACAAACAATTCATACGCACATTGATAATGCAAATGCACTCGAATGATCATTCAACGCCAGCTAATTTTGTTCGGACTTTTAATTACGAATAACATAGTTTGTATAATAATAAAAAAAAAAATTTTTTTTTTTTTGGGAAATTTTTAAATACTTTTTTTATTTCCAAAATAAAAAAAAAACTAACTACCAAAATGTACGATTACAAGGCTGCTTGTACTCACGCATTGCATATATATTTGTTTTTAAAAATTCTATTTAGAAGTTTTTTTCAGTTTTCTGGATGATTCCACTGTACTTTCTGCTGTACGTGTTGCGAAAAAGTAAGCCTGATCAAGGAATTACATTCTTTTTTCCGTTATTCTGAATAGAAATAACTATACATAGATAGTAATTCCAACAAAGAGATCGCTAACAGAACTATTGTATTACGTAAGGTTATTTTATCCCCAATTTGTATAAATTCTCAAATTTCTTCCATAAAAAAAAGAGAAAAAAACTATGACGGGAGTTGTCGCAATTCGTTTCTTACTTATATTTCCTTTCATTATTTTTTTTGATTTCTTATTTGTCAACCAAGCATTTATGTTCCATACATTATATCTCTTTATTTCACTCCGTTTATAATTATCTATTAAATTCAATTTCATATCCAAAAAAAAATGCTGCCTTGTAGAAAAAAGGAACTAATGACTACTTCAACAGATGTAACTGTAGTTCGTGGTGGGGCATACACCAAAGAGGTATGTCAAAAAAGACACAAGATCAGATCGAAAAAAATTATTCCGATCGCGAATATAATTCTTTTATTCTTTTTATTTTTAAATCAAAGGAAGATAATCGAATTCTCGAATTATATGAAATATATTCAACAGAAAATAATAAATGGAAATTGATTGCAAGTGAATTAAAAAGAGGTCATAAGAGTGTACGTGAAAGGTAAGCCTTTTATTATATTAAAAAAAAAAACTTTTATACCTATATTATTTTTCTTACCTTATTATTTTTCTTACCTATATTTTTCTTACCTATATTATTTTTCTTACCTCTCTTATTAACATCGTTTAGATATGTAAATCATCTGGACCCTACTAGTGCGTATATTTTTTCTTTGATCGATATATAACTTAATTACACTATGTACCGATACTGTTGTTTTGGGGAAAAATATATCGGTATATCAAATTATCGTTACATTTACCGTCATCAGTGAATCATAATGCGGGCCAAATAAAATTTTTGCCAGCATTATGCAAACTCCACTCCCGGCCAAATTTATAGTGTTTGCCCGAATTAATACAGTGTAACCTAAATCTTACTATGTATTAATTATAAAGGAGCAAAGAAAAGTATCGGTACATGTTACATCGTGAAACTATATATAATATCGGTATATAGGATATCGGTACATAGAGGTGTGACTGTATTTTACGTTTATTTTACACGAAATAATTAATTATTTATCATTCATTATAGTCGATAAATCCGATTTAACAATTCAAGAAAAACATAAGATTGATAGACTTCAAAGCATTTATATGAAGAAATGGGCAGAACTAGCTAAGGCACTGTCTAATAATCGAAAAGATGGAAGGAGAACAGAGCTTCAAGTTAAAAATTATTGGAACAGTAAACATCGAACTAATAATCGTAATAAGAATAAAAGTTATGAACGCATTAGCGACCAGATGAGGTTGAAAAAAATTTTGAATTAAAATTTATACATTTATAATGCGGAAGTATAAAATTATGTTATAATAAGATTTCTAAGAATTATTTTAAGATTTTGTATGTATATTCCCCAATTTGTTAAATTTCATATATCGAATAAAAAATATTACAATGTGTAGTTATTTATGAAGTCACGTGCACATATAAATCCATAAATAGAAATGGATACTATCATAAAACGTGGTAAATTTTATTGATATGATAATCAGAAAACCCATCTAAGTATAATGTTTTGCATTGTTCTATATTTCTTTTTAAACATTTAGATTTATTATATATTCAGCTTCCTTTATTTCTTTTGGATTATAAATCTTCAGTTTTTGGATTATTTATATATCTGATTTCTTCATTTTATCCAAATTTTATTTCAAATTAGGAGAAACCAGATTTAAATCTGAAAGGTCTAATACCATTTCCAAGTTCCTACCTTTAATAAATAAACTTACAAAATGATATATTGATATTGTCCTTTGATAATAATACCATTTGATTTAATATATACAGTATTTTAACTTAATTTTAAGCTTTAAAATTTGAAAATTTACTATAGTATTTTAAAAATAAACTTGTATATATAATTTTTTTTAAAAAAATGCATTTTATTATTAGTTTTATAACAAAAACTACAAATAGTAATACATATAATAAAATTGCCTGCTAAAATTAATTTTAATATTTTGACATATATAAAATTGTAAAAATAATATTAAATTGAAAATTTCAAAGTTTATGTAGGATATTTGAATACAGGTCATGTGAAATATAATAACACCAATATTACACCCTATTACTTTTTCTATGTAATATATGTATTTTAGTTACTTAAGGCATCAAAGGGGATTTTGAATACCGTTTTTGACTTATATATGAAAAACTGTTTTTGCTGATCATTTTCTAAATTTTTTTGGCAAAATCAATTATTCATAGGTAAAGTCAAAACTGACATTAAAAGCACCTTTGATGCTTTAGGTACTAATTTTGAAGTTTATATTATTAGTCAAAATGGCAATAATCACATGATCCATGTTCAAACATTCTGTGTTCAAATAGAAATTGCCTATTAAATTATATATAAAACTCCACTGTAGAAATGCATAACTCTAAAATTAATTTTTATAGTAAAGCTATATTTTGCTAAAATCTGAAATCTGAAATTATCTTTTATAGTAAACAACTTAATCTATTTAATAATCAAAATTGTATTTAAAATTATTTGAATTCTTCAACTTAAAATATATTAAATTGTATAATTACTTTTTTTTATATAAAAAATATTTCAAATTTGAAATTCTTACCAAAATTACATTTTTTAAAAAATCAATTTTAAAGCAAAACTTAAAATTCTATATAAGTACTTAAATTACTAGTAACTTTATAATCTAATAACCTAATGGTAATTTCATAACCTAATAATATAATCTAATGATAACTTCATAATCTAATATTATATATAATCTATTAATATATTAAATTTTTTTGTGTATGATCATCACGTTTATACTACTATTTTATGTGTATGTAACAGTAACATTTAGACTACTAATTTATGCGGTGTGCAATTATATATATAATGTGTAAGTTGTGACGTATATGTTCGTGTGATGAGTGTTTTATGTGTATTTCTACGTGTAATCTATACATGCCATCCAAATTATTTTGGGCTGCCATAATTATAAGTAAAATCCCAAATTCAATTATGACATCCCAAATTATTTTGGCACTTTACATAGTAAATTATATATAAATTGAATGAATTACGACATCCCAAATTATAATTATGGCATCCCAAAATAATTTGGGCAGCATGTATAGTGTAATCTGTAAACGTGTTTTTAAAAGATAAATTATATTTAGTATGCATTATTTTACATGTTGTATATTTAATAAAGAAGTTTTAATTTCATTGAATGTTAACAGAATGTTGTATATTTAATAAAAATATGCATTATTTTACATGTTATATACAGTCAAATCTCTATGTACCAATTCCCAGTGTACCGATAATTTCCTGTACCGATAAATTTTCATTGTCCCATTTCACGTATAATAAAAAACTGCGTTATATCGATATTGTATATAATTTCACAATGTAACGTATACCAATACTTTTTCTTGGTCCCTTTATAATAATATATATTAAGATATACTGATATTTTAGCTACACTAGTATTAATTTAGGCCAGCATTATAAAGTTGACCCAAGTAAAAGATTTAATTTGAATTCTTTTGCAGTTTATTTTGCCAAAATTTAATTATTTTAGCCCATTAATCAGGTGGTATTTATCTGCATTATGTTACTCGTAATATATTTAATGTGTTGATATTGTTCTCAATTAGAAGCATCGGTATCAAGATTTGACTATTCCGCTAATCTGATAATAAATGTGATTTACAATATAATATACAGTAATTGTGTACTGATAATTCAATATACCGATACTTTTTTTCTAAAACAACCTCATTGGTACATAGAGATTTGACTGTATTTAATAAAGAAGCTTTAAATTTCTTATATTGTATGTTTAGTGTAATATATGTCCAAATTTTAATTATTTAAAAATAAAAAAAAAATCTATATATATAAAAAATTTATTCTCCTGATGATTTATATGAATATTAAGTATATGTCCGTATGTTAATTCTTTTCTCTATATGTGTCCAAAACACGTGATGCTTTATTAGACATTTGCATCTGTTCTTTTCTGTGAATAACTTTTTTCTGAGTCATTAAATTTGATGACATCCTATCTGATATTCTAATGCCGTTTGGACAAGAAGAAAGTGAATCAATCACAGGTCAAAAAGTGAAAAATCAGGCATCAATTAGTCACCAATCAGTCACCAATCAGGTAACTGATTGGTGACTGATTGGCATTTTTGCCAAATATCGTCACCAATTAGGCAGTTTGCTAACATTTGATTCAGTGATTAGAAAAGGATGAAATATAACTCATTGGAATCGTCTCAACAAGACGAATCTAATGGTAGTAAAATCACATCTCTAGGATTAATAGTTAATAAAAAATTAAATAAAATATAAATAATACATTTTTATTTTTATACAGAGGGCAATCAAAATTATCCGGCCAGTTTATTTTGCTAAAATTTTGTAGATCATGATGTGTTAATGTAATATAAATAAATATAATTTTGTATTTATAATCACAATAAACAAATTCCCATGCTTCATATTTTTCGAAAATATGATATCACCTATTGTATAAATTTTATAAATTTTACAATTTTGTGTAAACAAACTTAAAAATCTTAAAAATATCATAATTCCGCCAATATTGGTCTGATAGACCTGTGCTTACCACCATTCGAATCGTCTCAATGAGACGGATCA